ACTGCATTTCTTAACTGCCCAGAACCCGATAGTGACACGCTACTCTACTTAATGTAAAACTAACTATCAACAATGATCCAATGATTTCACCGAAACTAAGAATCACCAACGTTATTTATTAACGTACAATTTTCATAAATACGCGATAACGCAATAGACCTTAAAATTTGGTCCGATAAAGGATTTTCATTTATGGATGGACTACCTAGCATTGGTTAATAAAAGATTAAAATAGAGATGTATTCATCATCAGTTTATTCATCTGTAAAAACAAAATTTCTATTAATCTGCATACACTCAACTGGATGGATCTAGTTTATTTACAGGGGTTTCTAACGAATATAAAAACGGTGAATAATTCCTAATTATGTGAGATGTAAGGGTATCTGCAGATTAGCTACTGCAAAGAACCAATTAATAATAATATTAAGAATAAGAATAATAAAAATAAGAAGAATTAGAATAAGGCTTGCGCCGATTTCAAAAACTTAAGGCAGCTTAAGAGCTTATTTGAGTCAATAACAAAAATGGCAGGTTTTTCGATTAAAATAGATCTGAACTCAGATTACTCACTGGTTACCTCCAGTTAACTACCATCTTTCAAAAATGGGACTAAAGAATACCGATACATGCAGATTCTGTGAAGCTCAGAGAGAAAATCCCAGTCCCATTACTGTTCATGCCCATTGACACCAGTCTAGCACCTTCGCACGACTTTTCTTAAATTGAATGAGGTCTAAGATTTAAAATCAAGAAACATAAAGTTTATCAACAGCCTAAACTTTTCCAGGTTAGCTTAGGAGTCTCTTTCCAAGTAGAACATCATAGAACTTATAGATCACAGGGTACTATTGTCCTCTTTAATTATAATAAATTAAAGTAAAAATAAGAATAAGAACATGCATAAGTGTAAGAACACGAAGAGTTAACTAAAATACATACATTTATATAAATTTCTACATCCATTATTTGTTTTTAATTATTTTAATATACCACATACAACATAATTGATTTAAAAATATTGAAGCAATATAGATGAAATATCTATGTTTAATTAGATGTAAAAATTTCTCTAAAATATTTACATAATCTATAAATGAAATTTCGGACGGTATATAAATTATCCACAACAAAATATATAATTTAGGTTAGGTTAGATTAGACTATACCAGCGATCCTAAGGGATCCACTTATGGGCCTATAGGCCCATTGTATTACCGTATAATGAAAAACTCAAGGGTTAGAACCACTAAGAACCTTTGGCAAAGCTTATAATGCTATTCAGAGGTAGATGTTGCAGTTCGTCAAGATTCTTAAAAAAAAGAAAACGCCGACGGGCATGTACTGCACAGAAGGAAATCAGATGGGAGGCACTTCCATCGTCTTTTCCACAACTGCGGCAGATTAGGTTGAAAGGGAGATTTAGTTATACAAAAATTAGCAAGAAAATATCTATATGTATTATTCTTATAAAATAATTAGAGTTTAAGGGAAAAACATAATACAGATTTTCAAATATCCATGAACAATGTAGATATTATTTAATACAATACAAGCATAAAAATATATTAAAGGCGATGAGAAGATTTATAAAACAAAACCTAATATCTACTCATATTGAAAGGATTTAACAGAAGATTACCAAACTGATAACAATATCTCTGACAAATACATTAGTAAGAATATTAAAAAAGGAGGATAAGAAGTCAGTATTATTCAAAATATCCACAGATATGCGACAAAATTAATGATCTATCTGCAATAGTATTTAATTTGATAATCCTCAGAAATATACCTGTAAATATACCTATAAATGTAGGTACTTTGGTTCAACGAAAATCCAATTTAAGATAAGAGGATATACTAGTTAAAATATTAAAATACATGTAACATATAGCTAAAGCTATATTCGTTTTATAGCTAAAAAAAATTCGTTATATGGTTTAAACAGGGCACATAATATACGCACATAAATATATAGAAATGAAGGTTGGGCTGTTACCTGAAGACATACTAAGAAGGTTTGGATTACATTCTCAGATTAAAAGGTATCCGTGGCAAAGGTATACCTTATGGCAATGGAAAATGTTTTCAATGCTGTCTTTGTGTTGTTTATTCGGACTTTCTTCTGCAAGATTACACAGGCAATAAGGCAAAATATTCGAAGTATTTTCTAGCGTTCGAGTATTTTCGTGAACGGCAAAATTCGTGGAATCCTATTTCAACAGTTTTAACTAAGGACTTTCTATTTTTGAAATATATTTAAATGACCAATTCAGAATAAACATAATAAAGCGGTAGATACAGTAAGAAAGTTTATTGAAAGAACTGAAGGTCATCCCAATATCGATTCATAATAGATATTTAGAAGAATTGAATAGTCATTAGCATTTGTGTGTAGCTTAAAATGAAGACTATTTTAAAGAAGAGAAGAATAGTTCCATTTTTATTATTGATCTGATTATATTGTACCCGAAATGCACAATATTGTAACATATATCTTTAATTTATTTTTAGCACGAAATCAAGATTAAAATTTAGTTTCCTTGGTATTAAAAGATGTAGCTTTTAAAACTAAGTGCGTTTGTGTTGATTATATCAACTAAGACCAACAAAAATAGTTTACAAATAATTAATTATAATATTAACATATTATTATTTTTATAATAGCAGTCGCTAACAAAAAACGACTAGTGGTTCAGGTCTAGAACTCTCTGTTAAGCTTATTAAAAGGTTTATTGTTGTTATTGTAGCCCGCGGATATCTTAACAGCAAATAACATGAAAAGAATCACACGACGAATACATGGGTTAGGAGGGAGAACAGATTGGGACCGGGTGGAATTTAATTTGAAATCAACCACTATTAAGACGGAGAAAAGTGTTCACTTTAATGGAGTGTATACAAAGGTTGATTGGACTGTGATTTGTGTGTTCTGTGGGACAGGAGCACAAATAGGCGACAAGTAACTGTTTAGCAGATGGCTATATCCCAATCTCAATTGAACTAGGTAAGTTCTTGTAGCACGAGAAAGACTCATCCTGGGAAATATTAGGCGGGGTCTATTGAGAACTTTGTTGCAAGACAACCATGGTCTGCAAGAGGATACTGTATTTGTGTGGAGGGCATAAATTCACGTTTATATGCGACTTCACTGATGTTAGGTCCATTGCAAAAGGTGTCGATATATCTATGACACGACTAATACATCGCATTATTTTTTTATTTGCTTATAAGCTAGAACATAGTTTGCTGTGAAATACAGCTATTCTGTGTTTATATTGATAGCGACTAGATCTCTATGTTATTTTACGTAGCGTTCTATGCTGTGGAGGCCTAACACTACGGTGTTCAAAAACACAACGTAATGATACGAAATGTCAATCAACGCACCATTGGAACCACATTACTAATTCCGCCGGTGCCAATAAACAAATGTGTGTAAGACATAACTTCCATATTGGTGATGAATAAGCACTCCACGCCGAATGAATGATAAACTAATTAATACCTAAATCATTCTTCCCGCGTAAGTTTGGGTATTAACCAACAACCACTACGAGTCCAACTTCAATTGGTCAGCACAGCCGAAGCTACGAGCCCCTGATCCCCGTAGTGCCAGATATTACCATCTCTGGTCAAATGTCGCAAGTGGGGCGGATCAATTACTACCATGCACACATTTCACATAAGTGCTGGATTGGCACCGGGATTTTAGACACCTCTTACAACAGGCATGCCTTATCTCGGAAATATTCTAACCCTTTTACCGCAGGGGGTAGTTGATAGAGACTACCAGATTCCAATCTCTAATAATATTTTGTCTCGCGGAAAAGTAGTGCAGTGTCTAGCTCATTGGCTCTATTGTTTCCTGCGATAGCAGAGGGACGTTATTCTTGCTACTAACGTTAACTTATGGATTAAACTTTAGAAACGAAATATTAATATCTTTTTTTTAATATTGGACTGGGCAGTAGTACACTGCAACTTAAAAGATCTGTTGTGCTATCATTGAGATCCTGCTTAGTAAATCCAAACTTTTGGATTTAAAAAAAGTTTTACTTTTTATAGAACATACAATATTTTTTATAAACAATGCAATATTTTTGGTTTATACATTTACTCTTTTCTAATCAGTTAATCATTATCTTGAATAAAATTTAGATATGGGATTATATTATTGTAAGTCGGTCGCTTTTATTTTGATAACAATGATCTAAACAAAATAATTTTTATAGGCCATAACTTCTAAAATATATTCAGTAATAAGAGAGTTCAACTCGTAGCATATATATATAATTTGCTTTTGTTTCTTTAAATTTCAGTTCAATCAATATAATTTATACTTTTAAAGGTTGGTAGGTATTGAGGTATATACTTCCTTCAAATAGTTCTTTCAAACTACTTCTTTCTACTTTGATTTTCGAATTAGCATAAGTCACAGAAACTTGAGCTAAGAAAAGACAATCACTAAGTTTTTTTGTGACTGCTCAGTCTTGGATAACAGAAGGAATTGAAGTTTAAATAGATTGCTATCAATTGTATTGTGGGATACTAAACATTTCACACAGAAGATTTATTATTTTTATTTAAATTAGTAGCATATCTTTCCCTAAACATATTCAGAACAAAATAAGGTTCAAGATATTTAGTGAAACAGAGCACAGTCAACATAGACAATTATATGTTTTAATTATAACATATTTAAATAGTAGTATCTTCTGCAAAAATAAGGGAATAAATTGTTTTAAACCAAATAACAATTTTAGAATAATAGTATAAATAATTTAAAAAGTTCTTTTATAATATACCTTTTATCAACCAAATGATTAACATTACAGCGCTCAGCGCAACCAGCACTCATTATAGTTGTTTGTGCGCCAGAATCTACAAATGCTTTAACTGGCACTCCATTAACTTTACAATTGATATAACTGCAATTATAAAAAATATTGCTTATAAATTAACCAAACAATTACACAATAACTAAATATACTTACAGCATAGAAACAGTACCAAATATTTCGGGATTATACTCAATAGCAGCAGCCATGTTCTCTTGTATATTCTTCTGCTTGATTTCCTCTTCAATTAAACGTTGGGCTTCAGTATCAAATGGATCAGCACGCAACATACGTAGACGCAATGCATTTCTTTGCTTACGGAGCTCGATCTGTTCATGAAGAACTATTGTAAAAGTTTCAAGATCTCCCGAAAGGAGAGCATCGGCAAGACGAGGATTGTTTTGTTTTAACAGAGCCAAAGACTCTGGGTTTGAGAGAAACATTTGACGTACCTGTGCTGGATCATCATCGTAGTTAACATTGGCTTCATCTGCATCGGAAAAATCCACCAAACCCTGTGGAACTCCTAAACGATATCCACTGCCACTGGCACTTGAGCTCGAACCTAAACGCTGTCCACTAGGACCTGTGCTCGTACCGGGTACTGCAATATTGCTAAAGTCCAAGTTACTAATAGCATTGGCACTTGCACTTGCAGTGGCTTTAAAGAAAAAATTAATAATATATAGTAAATTTTAATTAAAAAATTTTATTTTATTATATAGAATATTCTTTTTTATTAAATATGTTTATATATTGTTTTTTATTTTTGGCGTGACAAAATATAATGCTTTTAGCAAACGTGACAGTGATTTGATGAGTCAGAGATGTCTTGCAGTTTTATGTATGAATGTGTACAAATACAATATATCTACCATATATACATTAGTACCAATTTAGATATTAACTCATTAAAATAATTGTGTAATGTTTTTTATAAAAACAACAAAATATCAACGATTAAACACTGAACGATTTTAGAAAAAAGTTATTCACAATTTGCGAAGGTGTAATTTTGTTTTTTATTTAAAAATTAGGTGTGATTTATGTGCCACAACAGAGCATTTCAAATATCCTTCACCTTTTAAGTGAGGTCAACGACAGGTTAAATGAATTTTAAAATTAGGAAAATTTCAAATATTTTTTCAAAAAATTTTATGTATTTATAGAGAAAATATGTTTAAAATTGTTTTTAAAACACGCATGTACATATATATATATATGCACAGCCACATTAAATAAAAAAACATCTTTAGTGTTAGGGTATAAAAGAACTGTTTAACAAAAGATGGAAAGACTCTGCGATATGCAGGCATCTGTATGCAATGTGGCCACAGACCAACATTAGAAAATCGAGATCTCTCTTAGAGTTGCCCCGTAAAGATATCAGTCTTGTAGTAGGGTTACTAATAGGTCATTGTATTCTAGGTAATCATACTGGGAGACTGAATCACCGGTTCAACCATTTTTGCCGCAGTTGTGGTGAGGATGACGAAAATGCCTCCCACCTGCTTTGTTTCTGTCCAGCACATGCGCGGCGTCGCCTTTAATTTTTAAGGGCTTTCTTTTTTGAGGATCTTGGCGAACTTCGAGACCTCCCTCTATATGGATTTATAAGCTTTGCCAAAGGTACTATACGGTTTTAGCCCTTTGGTTTTCAATAATACGGTAGCACAAATAAAAGAAAGACAAAAAGATGATTCATATCATATCATATCTATGTAATTGTAATTCTGAATCTCAGTATTATACCTAACGTATTCAACCACATTCAGTAACTGAATATAGCATCTACTCAGAATATAAACTATATATAAAAATATACAAATTTTTAATAATTCAAGATAAAGCATTTACTTCACAACACTTACCAGAAACAAGAAAAATCTTCTGATAGATCTACAGCTCTTTTTTTAAAGTATTTTATTGAAAATAAAAACACTTTTCTACTGTTACCGATAGATGCGTAACTGGTATACTACAGTGCAATCCAAAAACCAAAAACCGGCGATACAGCTAATCTAATTTTATGGCTA